AACTCCGGCGACTGTTTAATACCTTATTTACCATTAAATACTGTATTTACTAGTAAATATCATATTTATCCAAAAATTCAGCCACCAACTCCGGCGACCGTTTAACACTGTATTTACCAGTAAATACTGTATTTAGTAGTAAATATCACATTCATTTAAAAATCTGACCACCGACTTCGGCGACTATTTAGCACTCTATTTAGCAGTAAATATTGTATTTAATAGTATCATATTTATCCAAAAATTTGGCCACCGACTCCGGTGACTCTTTAACATTGTATTTATCGGTAAATACCATATTTACTTATAAATATCATATTTATCTAAAAATCCAACCACCGACTCCTACGGCCGTTTAACACTGTATTTACCTGTAAATACCGTATTTACCAATAAATATCATATTTACTAATAAATATCATATTTATCTAAAAACTGGCCACCGGCTCTGGCGACCGTTTAACACTACATTTACCGGTTAACACCATATTTATTGATATGTACCGTATTTATCAATAAATACCATATTTACTAGTAAATATCATATTTATACGAAATCTGGCCACGACTCCGGCCACTGTTTAACACTATATTTATCGGTAAATATTGTATTTATAAGTAAATGTTGTATTTACTACTAAATATCATATTAATTTGAATATCCGGTCACCAATTTCGGTGACCATTTAACAACGTATTTACCAGTAAATATCGTATTTACTGGTAAATAGAGAGATCATAAGAGAAATAAATCGTGATAGATGGTTCATGTATAAATAAAAGCAATCCCTTTTTAAATTCAAAATTCATTTTTTAATCAAAGAAGGGAATTAAAAAAGGAAAAAAAAGGAATGATTCAAGTAGTGACTATTTACTATTTCTTAAATTGAATTGATGATAAACATACTGTTTTTTCTTGACAAATTCTCCGTCTTTTCAAATCTACCTAACCATCAAATGTGGTTTCCTAAGAACAACAAAATCCTAGTTATATGTACCAAAATTTAATAAGAATATTGTTCATATGATAGTATTGTTGGAATTCTGAGATCTTGAATCATATTTCTTATATTTTGGAGACATGATGAAGTGAGTAGCCGGGAATGTTATTATACAAGATGAAATACATTTCCTCTTGAGAAAGAAGTAGATAAATAATTCTCTTGAAGATTGATTCGGTACTTGGCCCAGTACGAGCTTCGATTCATGAATTTGTTACATGAATCACAATCCATTAAAGAATCAATGATACTCAAGAATAAACATATAATTAGAGAGGTTAACAAACTTCTTTCCAATTTTTGTGTATATATCACGAACATCAAGACAATTAAAAACTATCGATGTATATATATTAATCAAACTATATTGTTAAACGCGACATCCCTTGTTGACCAAGCTATAAATACAGTGTTGCAAACGAACAAAAATCCACAATTTCTCAGATCTCAATCACAAACTCAGATAAAAAAAATTCAAATCACACCATCGATTTGCAAAAAGCAACTGACCTTAAAGTCGTCGTCCAAGACCTCATCGATGCTTTGATTTGACCAGATTCAGCACTCACTATAAAGACCTCTGATCCTGCACTTCTCTGGCGTTTAATTCGAAGTACCAGCGTAACTGCGCCCTACCACGGATCTGCTCGCGAATCTTCCTTCTTAGGCTATAGGAAGCAACAGCGACAACAAATCGGCAACCAAACGCTAGTAAGCCTGCAAACAAAGAGCAAAGAAATAGAGATCGGCCACGCGGCGGAGATTGCGATCGAACTCCGCCACAATGCGACAATCTTAAGATCAACGGTCATCATCCCGTCGCGCCCACCGATTTCTCTTCTTCTCCGGCGATGGGAATGAGGTA